GCTGAAGAGGGGATAGTGGCGGTAGTTGAGGGCTGCAGGTGGTCATCTGTTGAGTGGCCACACATGCAGTTTAAAAAAGCAACAAGGCCGAAGAGATTACATTTCATGCCAGCAAGAAAGGCACATTGATACTGAAAGAAAAACAAAATGGATGAAGATTTAGTTAAGAGATTTGGATTAAATGCAAGTCGTTATTTTATTCAAAAGAACGTACAGCAGTCAAACAAAACAAATTATATTTTATTCATTTTCTATGGCTTATCAACACTTTGCAGGTTATTTAAAGCCAGAAAATATTTTTTGATTGTAAGAATTTTTTTTTGAGTTAATAATGGTTTAGTGATACAAGTCTTACTAATTAATCCATAGATGGGGAGAAGAGGTGGATTCATACATAATCAGAATTTGATAAACAAAAGAAATAGTGTGGATATAAAGTGGGGGATAAATTTTGTATTACAATCGATACGTAAATTGATCTCTCACTTTGTGGCCAGTGTAGTTTCTATACATTTATATTCCAGAGAATGTAAATAAAACTAAAAGACATGTCTGTGTAGCTAATCAGTATTTCAGTCATTGATTTTGTTTTATATGGTTTACCAACCCTTTACAGGTTATTTAAAGCCAGGAAATATTTTTTTGATTGTAAGAATCTTTTTTTTGAGTTAATCGTTAGTGATACAAGTCTTACTAATTAACCCATAGCTGATGGGACAAAAGGTGGATTCATACCTAATCAGAATTTGATGAAAAAATAAGAAATTATAATGTTGATATAAAGTTGGGGATCAATTCTATAATACAATGAATATATAAACTGATCCCTCATTTTGTGGCTATCATAGTTTCTATACATTTATATTTCACAGCATTTATGTAAATAAATCTAAAAGACCTGTCTGTGTAGCTACTTAGTATTTCACTGATTATTTTATTTTCTATGGCTTATCAACACTTGGCAGGTTATTTAAAGCCAGAAAATATATTTTGATTGTAAGAAATTTTCTTTTTTGAGATAATAATGGTTTAGTGATACAAGTCTTACTAATTAATCCATAGATGGGGGAGAAGTGGTGCATTCATACCTAATCAGAATTTGATAAATAAAAAAAATTATAATGTGGATATAAAGTGGGGGATCAATTCTGTATTACAATCTATACGTAAACTGATCCCTCACTTTGTGGCCAGTGTAGTTTCTATACATTTATATTCCAGAGAATGTAAATAAAACTAAAAGACATGTCTGTGTAGCTAATCAGTATTTGACTAATTGATTTTGCTTTCTGCAGTTTATCAACCCTTTGCAGGTTATTTAAAGACAGAGAATATTTTTAAATTGGAAGAATTTTATTTTTTTTTGAGATAATAATGATTTCGTAATACATGTCTTGATAATTAACCCATAGGTGTGGGGAGAAGAGGTGGATTCATACCTTTCCCATGAGCATTTGTGCATAAGTGAATATAACAAGCCCAACTGGAATTGGAACTCAGCTCTCCCTGATTAACAATTCTCATCCATTATCCTTTACACCATATGCACAATCCAAGCATAGAGCACCTGGCATCCTCAAATGATTACCCATCTAGGTACTGACAAGGTTCGATATTGTTTAACTTTAGTGATTGTAAGGAACTGATGTTTCAACCTGATGGAGTTGTAAACTTAGTAATAATCCGTTTCTTTTTAAGAAAACCTTCAATGTCTGAGAAACAAGTACGACTTTTGGTTGAAATTTTAATTAAAACAATTTTTTTCAGGAAAATAAGTTTCTCAAGTTCAGTGACTGTTTTATTCTTTCTGTTATTAAATGGGGGTTTCCTTCCTATCTATTAGTATGAACTAGTGTGGAATATCAACATCTTATGTCATTATTTTCTCTTTGAGTTATACAGGGTGTCCCCAAATTCTGGACACCCTAGACAAAAATGCATATTTTCAAGAAATGAAATTCTTCACATTTTATCTAATTGGAATATTAACAAATAACATCTTCAATATGATTTGCATCATTTGTGATGCAAAGGTTGATGTGCAATAATAACTCCACATTTCTGCCAATTTTAGCACATTCACTCTTTATATGTTCAATCAAGTGTGTTGCATCTGTAATTTTCATTGAGTACACCTTCTCCTTTGGCATACCCCAGAAAAACCATGTTTAATCTGTAGAGGTAAAAGAAATATAGTTAATGAGATTTCCTGTTTCCAGAATTTAGGGACTTCCTGTGTGTGCAATCCATTTTAGTTATTGCTGCTGTTGAGTATCCTCAAATTATTTTATTCCTGTTTTTTGCTACAGTTTTTGTTTCAGTAGCACCAATCCACAAAGTTAAAAAAAAGGATAGTTTTTTGAAAAACTTTATTTGCTTTTTTTAATTCATTGATCTGAAAAATGAACAAGTTTGGAACCATATATGAGATCCAGATGAAAGTGTTGATCTGACAAGACTGCTTAAGAACATACTAGAGTTTTGATTTGGTAGCAATGTGTGGCGTTAGGTGAAACTACCCATTCTATATCTAATTTTCTTATATCCAAAACTAAGTTGTGTTTTTACTGAACCCTATACCGAGGTATATGAAGTGGGGTTTAATATTTGTTACAGATTTGAATCAACCAACAACAAAGAAAAAGGTGCAAAATGCATAAAAATATAAAAATATAAAATATTTTTATTTTCGTTCAAATTCCAGATCACAGGTTCTGTTTCGATTGCTGTGTCTTTGATAGACTTAATCGAGGATGCTGATTTTAGGTATGAAAGGTATGAATCCATCTGTTAATGAGCTATAGGTTAATTAGCAGGTCATACTAAGATTTCTGGCTTTGGTTGGCAACCAGTCTAGGAGAAAGACAACTCTGAATTTGTGGAAAATTCAAGTTTTACCATAGGCAATGCAACTAGAAATAATAATTTTTGTCAAATTTTTTTTTATATTACTGTAGATTAAGCACTCCAGTTTGTGAATATAAAAAAAAATTTGTATTAAATGCCATAAGAGTTAATAGAGAGTCCGGTTTGTGATGCAAATTCAGTATAAATTGATCCCCCCCCCAATATGGAAGCCAAAACAAATACAGTCATATAATGTGATCTTTTAAAATGTAAAAAACTTTTTTTAAATTTTGAAATTCCTAATCTGAAGTGGCCTTTTTTGTACATTATTATCAGTTAAGATAGTAATCTATCTATATATAAAATTCTGTGACTTTCGTTAGTGCGTCTGTCACACCCCCTAAAATAACCATACATTGACTGATCAAAACGAACAAAGGAAATGAGTGAGAATGTTATAATTTAGTGTGTATGAGCAACAGAGTTCAAGGTCAGTCTAGAAGAAGAGGGGTTGGCAAAAGGCAAATGACCTTCTTATAGGTGTCAAAAGCCAACATGGTGTTAGATGGAAAACTCCTATTCAAAAGAACCTGAAAAAATTGTCTACAAATGTAGCATCATATGACATGTGGCTCACAGTGCACTAGTAAAAGGTTTGGTTCTATGACAGAGAATGTGCATAGCTGAGCACAGGCAAATGGTTTCTTCAAAAAAAAATTCATAAAGGACTGGTACTGTAAAAAAACTACAACACATATCAATTCAGCATTTAATCTCCTTCAAAGTAGTCCCCTTCTGAATCCACACAATTTATTCAGCAGTGTTTCCATTGATGGAAGCATTCCTGAAACTCCACCTTTGGAATATCAAGCAGCTGCTTCATTGCATTCTCTTGGATTTCCTCGATGTCTTCAAATCTTGTTCCTTTTCAGTGTGATTTGATTTTAGAAGAAGAAAAAGGTGCAAGGAACAAAATCTGGGGAATATGTTGGTTGTTGAACCTGGGGAATGTTGTTCTTGACTAAAAACTGCTGTACAAGCCTTGGTCACTGATGGAACATCTATGGTGTGATGAGACGACCACCCTCTATACACTTTCCTTTGAAGCACGGCTATGAACAATGTTATCAATTATATATAAGCAACAGGCTTCAAAGTCAATCTGTGCCAAGCAGCTTCTTACTGCATACTTTAGCTCTGTTACCATAACAAGAGTTTTCCAATACTTTTTGATCAGACATCGTATGATTTATTGCTAAAAATGCTGGGGAAATGACTGGTTCACTATACCACTCCAGTAATTATCTGATTCTCCCCTGCTATACTCTATCTTTACAAAAGCCCAATCAGACCCAAAATGGAGCATTGATTCCTTATCTGGGCTAGAACTGCTGAATCCTCAATTGATAGAGTTCAAAAGCATCTAGGCAGCCTTGTGGGTGATGAATTATTTTTCACCCTACAACCTCTTTACCACAGATGAAATGTTGCAAGCCTTTCCTATTATTGCTATTGCTCTTTCCATGTCTTGTTTTTCTGTTGCACTACATTTCTTCGTCCCACCAGCCCTGACCTTTGCAACTGAGACTCACCCATACCACGTACACAAGAGTGAATCATCCCTTTTCGATTCATATTATTACTTCATTATTTTCCTTTTGAGTTATATGTGCTATCCATTTTAGTTGTTGCTGCTGTTGAAAGTCCTAACATATAGTGCCAGTCTAGAACATTTGAAGGATGGTCCTGTCTAAGATCTACATGCCCCCACCCTCTGGTCAACATTTTAATCATTGATATTAGAAAATTGTTGGATACACCTGACAGTTTAGATATTTCTGAATGTGTTTGGGGCCAGGCATGACATCCAGATGAAAATCTTAATCTGACGACATGGCTCAAGTTTTTAAACTAATGTTTTGGTTCTGTAGCAATTGGTGGTGTTGGGTGAAACTACCTCTAGTGCAGTCTATTGTATATTCAATTTCCTTTTCTCCTATACTAAATTTGTTATAACTGATCCATATTTGAAGTTTAATTTACTAATTTGAAGTTGTTAGTAATTCTAATTCTATGTTCAATAATTTTCCATAATACTTGTTATATAAATAGGATACGCCATAAAGAATATAATGTTCTATGTTTTTCACCTT